AAGTGTAGAAAACATATCCTCTTTAAGATTTTGCTTTTGCTGAAAATCAGAAGTGAATTTTGACCATAAATTCCCTAAGGGAATAAGAATTCTCCAATTGGGCAAATTATAATTTGGCCTATAGAATTTTTCATAATTCAGTGGCAATTTCAGACCAGTCTCATGTATTAAGCTGCTAAAGTAAGTCAGCACAATTCTGGAGAATACTAAGGCTTTTGTAGACATTGGAAACTGTGATGCCAGCTAATAAAAATACCCTGCAAAAGGACTTGAATTTAGTTCCTGAGTTGCAAGTTAATGTTGGACTTGATGTTATAATATAGGGACTGCCTGATTTTTATCCTGTAAATACAGGGGAAAATATAACATTATCTATATACTTTTCCCTGTTGTTTTCTAATTTTTTTTTCTGTTAAGGAAAGCACTAACAGAGAAGCATGCACTTACCTTGTGCCTGGGCTTCTCTAGGTATAGTTCCAGTACATCCAGGGTGTCACTGTGTCAATTTTGCCAAAATACTCTTGAGGGAACCTGACATATAATATGGCAGCCTCATTTCAGGTTTGGTTTCTAGATCCAAAACATGCCTCTCAGCCCATTTGAGCCTTCATGGATTTATGGACCAAGGATGTACCTTATTTCCTCAAAACTGATCATCACCTGTTCTCTCAGGTCTTAGAAACTAAACTCAGATTTCCAATCAGCTGGCCTGACATTGAACAATGGGCAGTTTTAATTGTGCAGAGCACTGCAGTTTGTAAAAAAGAACCACAGCCGTTGGTGTTCTGCAGGGCTGGTTTATGTTCACTGCTCCATTGCAGTATCAGTACATCATTTATAGAAAGTGGAATACTAATACAGAGTAATAAATCTCTAAGGATTCTTAACACTTCATCTGACTAAATACTGTGAGGGCTATAATTGGAGAACTAAGATTGATATAGAAATTAACTGATTATCAGAACTTAAAATACATGACTTTTTTTAAAGAAATGGGGCTTGAAATTGAGAATTTTATGACATTTTAATTTGTTTTGCAAACACAATATGAGAGAGCAAGTATTTGTGGCATGTAAACCTTTTAATGGAAAAATCATTAGGGTAGAGACAAGTTTTCTGGTCATTTATTATTATATTACTATAAATTGGCCAAGTCTTACAGTATGTAATAAAACCTTTTATATGTATATATTCTTATTAAATCTAGTATTGGACTGTGGTTGCCAAGTAAACACCTATCTACCTGTATAAACACAAAGCCCAACCTATTATTTTAAAGGCTATTATTAGGTATTTATAAAATATTTTTTATTTTTTTATTCCCTGCATCCCAGTCTTGTTCAGTAAAAGAAAGGGAAATGGTAGCTGGCCAATCTATGTGGTCCCTGACTTTAGTTCACTTCTCAGCCTGGCCCAATTATTTGGACAATGGGGGATTCTAGTTGTTTACTGAAAGAGGCACAAAGCCACACAGGCTCTGTTCGTAAGTTCCAAAATGCCCATGCTGAACCTTGACAAGTGCCCGAGGCCTCCTTGACTGTGGTAGCCACATCTAACCACTTTTTCAGCTTCCTGATTGAGGTTCAGCTGGTCAGCGGTTTAAAGTTTTGGTTCTGGGCAACTGGCCCAAGTGAATCATTCCAAATGGATATGATGACAACAATTCTAAAACTTGGCACCATCTACCAGGGATATAGTCTGAATAATCCAGTCTAAGCCCCAGGTTTTGGCCAGAACAGTGGTAGTTATGGCTTATTTCTAGTCTCTTGGAAAAAAAATTGGCTTTTCTGTTTGAGCAGGCGTACCTCTGGTTGTGGGCCAAAAGGAAGGGTAGCAGTAACACAACAGTGGTAATGCTAATTAATGACACTCCTTGTTGACTTCACATCTAGAGTAACTTTCTCATTGTTCACAATTATAGTACTGAAAATAAACAGAACATTTAGAAGAAAATCCAGAACTGATTGTGTTTCTCCTATTTTGAGTAGTATTTCCTGTGCTATGAGAGCTTCCTTTCCTAATTAGGTTCTAGTCCCTTTTAATAACTTTTATTCTCCTCGTGCCTTCTCCTATTACATTTTACTGGTTTTCCATGTGAAATGAAGTGCTGCTATTTTGAGGAAATGTAACATGTGCAATTAGTAGTTTTTGTAATTTTTTGTTGCTATATTGGATAAGCATCACTTTGCACTCCTGTATTACTCATTTATCAAGTTGACTCCACTGTTTTTTCTTGTTTGAGAGGCCTTTACCTAGAACAAAAAGTTCAACATTTGAAAATGGTATATAAAGTATAGATCAGGGGTCAGTAAGTAGCAACCCAGCAGCAAGGTCAAAACCAGGCCACCAAATGTTTTTGTAGATAAAGTTTTGGTGGATCACAGCCATGCTCATTTATTTATATATTGTCTATGGCTGTTTTCACACTACAGAGCAGTGGCGAGTAGGTATAACAGAGACCATGACTCACAAAGCCAAAAATATTTATTATCTGGCCCTTTATAGGGAAAGTTTGCCTATTTTTTCTACTTTGTCTGTCTTTAAAAATGCAAACCAAAATGTGCATTTTAGCTGTTCTTTGAGGACATTTAAAATAGAGAGAAATGATCAAAATTAATTCCTGTTTGGTTTTGGACTGAAAGTGAAAATAGTCAAATGCGTGATATTTTATGCACATTGCATTATATGAAAGCTTATCAGGAAAAAGCAATCTATTGCATTTCTATTTTAGGATTTTTTCCCCATGGATTTCAGGTCTCCTTATGTTGCCCAGGCTGATCTCAAACTCTTTGCCTCAAGAGATCCTCCCACCTTGGCCTCCCGAAGTGGTAGGATTACGGGCTTGAGCCACCATGCCTGGCTATTTTAGGATATTCTTAAAGTGGATAGATACTTAGTTATATCTTGATTGAAATAAAGCCAACACTTTAAAAGTTCTTATTTATGTAAAATGGTTTGGGGAAAGTTGCTAAAAGTAATAATCATTTTATAAAAGTAATAGTCTACCTAGAAAGTATTCAGCCTAGGCTCTCTTAAACTCTCCAGGAATTTGATTGATGGATGGTTGGATGGATATTGTTCTTTTCTTTGTACCCCAAACACTAGCACGTAATTAAACTTTTTTTTAACTCAGAAATTTCAACTTACACACGTTTCAGAAGTATTTCCATTATGTTAAAGTGCAAAATAATTGTGCTATGTATAAACTCTTCCAAAGAAATTTAGAGACTTCCAAATGTAAGGGTTATTCTTTTGGCTTTTTAATTCAAAGCTACATGCTGTTATGGAATAACAAAAGCCTTAGTATGCCTATCCTTTTAACTGCCAGTTGAAAGCCTGATACACTTTTGTTTGAAGTTGTATGGCTTTGTTACAAATAGATGGCATAAAAAGTGCTCTCCACTTTCTTGTGATTCATCTTTATATTTTAAGAGGTGTGGATTTGTTCTATTTTCCTCTTGTTTGTTTGTTTTCCGATTGCAGTGATGGTCTTAGTTGAGCGCCCATGAAACATCCAGAATTTCATAGGAGGAGAGGATGTGGGAGAGGATACTTAAGGCAGGGATATACAAATATAAATAAAAGAAGAAAATCTTAGAGTATTGTAGGTTCCTCCACTACTGCAGCAAAGAGTACACTTTGTAAGCTTTCTGGAGGGATAATTTCAGAAGAAAGCCTCAGAAGACCGTGAGTTCTGGATTTTGGATAGACTCCATTGCAATTTTACTATAGATTAAAATCTGTTTGCATTTGCTGCACATACATTGAACTGAGGGCTAGAAGAGGCAGCCTGGGGCTTTGAAACAATGACCACTGAAGAAGGCTACTCTTCATAGAATCATTTTATATGATGTTTCCTAAGCTGTGTATAGTACTTTCATAGATTCACTTTGTTTTTTCTGAGAAAATATTCTACCCTTCTTAAGAATGGAAAATGGGCCAGTTTTCTCTCATACCATTTCTGCATTTTTATAAGAAATGACAGGTACATTTCAAGGAGGTTTACATGTCACTAAGTGTATAAAAGACTCTTTTGAAGTGTCCCATGTACAGAGACCTGCACATAGTAAGTGGTCAATACATGGTTACTGTTTCTGTATATGAATGAAGACAGGAGCTGAGTAGCCATTTAGAGTCTATTCTGGCTCCCTGAGGATACTTAACTTCAGAAACCATCCCTGTGGTGGTAAATACAACAGTGAGATTGGAATGAAATTTAAAAAGAAAGAGGAGGAAAAAGCAAACAATAAATCCGCTTGATGCTCATTTGCCTGGGAGTTGTTTTAGTGGGGATGGGAGAGGGAAATAAAAATTGGGGGGATTTTTATGTGGTGAAGGAAGGCTCACCAAGAAGAAACAGCAATAAAAAATAATATATTACACTATTGTCACACACAACATGCATGAATATGAGAGACTTAAAAAGCGAGACACAAAAGAGTTCATGCCATTTATGTGAGGTTGAAGAACAGGCAAAACTCAATTAATCTATAGTGACAGATGTCCTCTGTAGCCTGGGTGGGAGGTTATTGGCCAGGAAGGGGCATCAGAGAATCTTCTGGGTGATGGAGATGTCCCATATCTTAATCTGGATGTGGTTACATTGGTATATAAATATCTATAAAAATTCATCAACTTCTCTACTTTCCATACTTAAGATTTGTGAACTTTATAGCTCACTGAAAACTTAAATCATAATAATATTGAAAATAGGGCATGGAGAGGACACTCGATTTAACATGAATGCTTAATAAAGTCTTTAGAAGAAAAACCTGGCAAACTCCTGCTCTAAAGACTCTGCTAAGCTTATAGGAGACTCTTCTGAATAAGGGCATTTGTATTAATTTTTATTGCAAAACATTTTAAACCCCAAAGGATGCTTAGTATGCAGTAAAATCACATCTGTTGAGCCGCAGCAAGGTGAAGGCTGCAGAGCATAGTTCTGTTAATTCTTTCAGGACTTACTGCTTAAAAGCAATGCCTTTCTTCTTTCTTTCCAGATTGGCAGATTGCTACTCTGGCTTTACTCTTGGGCGGTGCTGCCATCATTCTCATTGCATTCCTGGTGGGTTTGATTTCCATCTGCGTGGGATCTCGAAGGCGCTTCTACAGACCTGTTGCTGTCATGCTTTTTGCAGCAGGTAAATATGTTCAGTACTTTCAAATGGGTATTAAAGTTTCATGAACCTTTCTACCATCCTTCCTTCTCGTGCAGAAGAGGTACGTGTTTGCCGCATTACATAAAAATTGAGAGGCATTTCTTATATTTTAAGGGTAAATCAGCTAAAAGTTTATCATATTATCAGTTTTCAGTGTGTCAAGCATTTCGCAGAGCACAGTGGCAACTTCTAAACCTCTAAAACATGAATAAATAATATTTCTTGGCAGGGCTATCACCTTAGGAATTGCAGCAGATGTATTTACCAAGTCTTTTTTACATTTAGTTTTTTTCCCCTTTTTATTGCCCTCTGGTGATTTTAAGGCAACGTTATTTTTCTGGTATAGAACTGAAAAAAAATTCCACAATATGTACTGTTAAAGGCATACATCTCTTTGGAACTAAACATAGTTATACTGCAAAATGACATATAAGTTGAACCATCAGACAAGTCAATTATATGAAGTCAATTGTATATTTATTAATTTAACATCCATCATTCTATGAAGCACAACTTGGATTAAAATATTAACCAATGTAAACTAAAAGACAGGAAGCAATTTAGAAAATAGGCTTACAGACTAAAACCTCAATACATGATTTGATGTGAGTTTTAATTTTCATTTATAAGAAAGCCTTTGAATATTTTGTTCTTTTCGATTCAAACTGAAATATTCTGCGGTACCTCCAATTTACCCTGTCAATCATACCTGATTTGAAGACTGCAAAATAAGCCCCTGTGACTGTCAATAATGAAGACACTGACAAGATCGTCTAGGCTGTTAGATGGATTTTTAAAAGCTGTTTAAAAATTGGAATAGATGAAATTTCTCGGGATTTAAAGCGTAGTTTGAACCAAAAATGTGAAATCAGAAGTGTTCTGCTGCCCCCTACTGTTTTTGTTCATCTTCTTATACCCATTGAAGACTGGTCAGAATGTAGGTGTCATTCAAGTTAAGGTCCAAAGGACTGGAGGAATCCAGAAGTACATCTAATTATCATTAAATGACTTGCTGAAGATCACATAGTAGTTACCAGTAGTCACATTCAGTAGTTCTGAATCTTAAGCTAGTGGTTCAATCATGACTGATTCCCTCATTCATGCAACTATGTTTTGTGTGTCTTTTATAGGCTAAATATTGTATTAAGACACCTATAAAACTGACCAAGGTATCATCACTGATACTTTCTAATAGATTAGAAAGCATGATTTCAAAAGATACTTTAAAGTCTTAGGCAGTGACCCTAATATCACTATTTTATTGCTCTCATGTGTAATAAAAGTCTCTATTATGAATGAATTAGTACAAAATGAGATTCCCTTGAAGATTCCATCGCTATTCTCCAGTTTATTTCTTGGTTCATGGATTTACCATGGCTCTTTTCCTATTTTTAGAATAAAATAGCTTAGACATTTTAATTGTAGTAAAAGTTTGTCTTTACAGCTAGAATTTATTAACACAGTGAATAATCAATTGTAATACAGTTTCTTGATAAATTATTCTGAAAAAATTATGCCATTTTTTAAAACTGTAATTCTATTTTGAGAAATTTTTAGAATATATTGACATTCCTCATTTTAGGGTGGTATAGAGATATTCTAATCATTTATTATAAATATCCAATATTATTATGCATACTTAGTTACTATTTTACTGAGACTTTAGCTTATTACATACTGGAATATGTAGAATGTATAAAGACATCCATTGTTTATATCATCTATTATAAACATGCTTAGAATAAAAATTCCAGGTTTTATTCTAAAAGAAAAGATCTGTATATTTTTCTAAGGATAGCAAAATTTATGAAAATATGAAAGTAAGTACTGTTTGTAACAGAAAATGTATTGTAAATGAACATAAGTTATAGGTAATGGGCTCGGCCAAAATATTTTGATTTAGCTTTAGCTACCACAAATATTAGTAAATTATAACATAATGAAAGGAATCTCTGCAGCAAAATTCATATAGTGTTGTTCAACCCATTGAGACTGAAAATGAGCATTATATTACTATGTTTAAAAAATGTACATGTGCCGAGATTTAATTTTACTCATTTTCTTTTGACACCATGATTATGGAAGGTGGTTTTGAAGTAACCATTAATTTAGTGTGAGCTTTGCATATACGCAAGGTAAAACTTACTGGTTATTTGTAGCATATTATGAAAGAGTTTCTCTTTCCCATTTGGAAAAGCTATTTAACAGTTACCTATAGCTGATTTCTGGAAAAGATAATCATTACACATAATAATCCGTTATTGATGGGTATAAGATTAGCAAAGTTGGAAAATCTGCCTACTTGAAACAATGCTAGCTAAAGTTATGGTTGTTTATTTTGCTTGCTTCTCAGTAAATATACTTATTCCAGTGGTTGGCTTATCTAACTTGTAATTTAGTTTAGTGATTCTTCATAAATGTGTTTTTGGAGCCATTTCCCCTTTTGCTTATCTTGGTCTACTTGAAAATGGTCTATGTTTTCTCATTTCTCAAAATAGGCAATATCTTAGTGTTCACACACATAGATAATGATCTCTATCTCAACAAAGAAACATTCTTTTTTCTGCTGAGACATGCAGTACATAAAATCAAAACAGACATACTACTATCACTTAGAAAAATCTCTACCTGGGACTGCATACTTAATTTCTTCAGTACCATGTGCTATGCCTGGTACTCATAGATACTCAATAAAAAATTTTTGAATGAATGATGAAATGATGACTAAGACGTGTGGCTCATAACCTGGTAGGGAAGAAATAGGCATGTAAACAACTAACTGTAATTCATTTTTTTAAAGCCATTTCTCTCTTTGAGACTTATGAAACAGCAAGTTTCACATGACTACAAAGCTAATACCAAAACACTCATAAAAGTAATAATTATCAAAATTATTTTTAATTTATGTTTTTATTCATTTATTTAACAAATATAATGGACACCTACACTATGCAAGTATACTATCTTGGTGTTAGAAAATATACTCTAAGAGTTTTTTGTGAAAACTGATGATTAAGTCTCATAAAGATGTCCAAACAGATTTTAAAGATTTTTGTCTTCTTTTTTTTCTCTAAGGTCTTTTATTTAGGGTAGGCTTGCTGGCCATCACTGCATCCCATCTAAAACATTGTCCTGTTTCTCACAACTCTCTTTCTTGTTGGTCCTAGGAGTCTATGCTTCAGAATTAGATGTTTTCTATAATAATAATTCTGATAATAATAATTAACCGAGTATCTACCATCTGCCACAGCACTAGAACTTAACATACACTATCTCTGATATAACAATTTTAAAAGTAGGTATTTATTTCCCCATACTATCAATGAAGAAACAGGCTCAGAAGGGTTAAGTAATTATCCAGGGTTATCCAACTAGTAAGTTGCAGATCCAGGGTTTCAATTCAGGGCATCTATCTGACTTGAAATGCCAAATGAGGATTCACAAGTCATCTTTACTTGGGTATATATCATATATAGGAAAGCCAGAGCAGAATCAGCCTTGATTTTGAATTCAGCTGCCAATTATGGACTGCAGTTGGAGTCCATCCTGTAACTCCAGTTATGCCATTTCTCAGAAGCAACACCTGAAGTAAGTCATAAAGACCACAAACTGATCCGTGCAGCATGACTAAACCATAGCACATAATGAAAGCTGTGCACATTTCCAGTATAGTTGACTACAGCATACTTTTTTGTGCGTAACTGACAATGATAGATAATACATGGCGTGATTCTGACAACTGGCATCCAGTTCCTTTTACTAAAGACTTAGTGAAATTAGAGGGATTGCCTCTTTTATGGTTCTCTCTTCCTTTATTGTCTGGTTTTGAACTGTCTGCAGGTCATTTTTGTGCCCCATAGGGACTTAGGTTGAGTGTTTACTTTTTTCCCAAGGCCTTTCAAACAAATTGCAGAAAATTCTTAGCCTTTTATAATTCGGATTTTAAGTTACAGAATCCCTATCCATTGCATTATTAAGGATGCTTGTTTTCTGTTATATCTGCAAAAAGCCTCCTATGAGTGATCATTTATTCAGAATGGTGATGGGGGGAGTCCTGCAACTGATTTTCATCTCTGTGCTATCTCTGATTAGAGGTGTGGGTTTTGCACCCCTCACCACCATTCCATAAGTCACAGTGAGAGTGAGATGGCTCAAGCCATTTCGTGTGTAGATTTTGGCAGAAAATTCAGTGTCCAGCTTAGATTTCAAGCTAAAAGGAAGTTCATCTGTTTACAGATCTTTAGATTCCATGTTACTTTCTTTGTACTGATATCAAGCTACTCTTTGGCTAGAACAAATTGTAGTATCACTGCCCAATAATTAATGTCATACTACTACTAACTTTAGTAGTTATAGATTAAATTAAAAAAAGAAAAGCAAAAAAAAATTTTATAGCTTTATATTATCTCTTCATGGGTAAATGTTTTTATTCTCCAAATCATTGTTTCCTTTATGTCAGTTCTATATTTAGGGACCTGGTTAGTAAAGCCTGGCAATTCTGCCTTTAAATTATCTCCTAAGTCTGCACCTTCTTTTTATACACCACCTTTATTGCCTTAGTTGAAGCCATAACTGTTCCTCAAGTGGAACATCTCAGTTCCCAAATTTGGTATTCCCCTACTTTGTTTTATGTTTCTATGGTAATATCTGACATAAAATAGCTCTGTGCCTTCTTCCTTTCCTTTTCTAAGAATCTAGTTTTTTAGTTCTTCCTTTATAGTCTTTTCTTTACATTCCCTGACCTTTTTTCTCCACTGATGACACCTTAGTCATCACTGCCCACTTGTCCCTAGGCACTGACTGACCTCCAAGGTGCCTGTCCATCTCTAGTGTCTTCCTTATGTAGTTTGTCTTGCACACAAACACATGAAGTCTATTTCTGAAATACACATCTGGTCTTGTCACTGGCCACTTTGGTTTCCCCAGAAGCAGACTCTGAGACAAGGAATCAAGTGAAAATACTTTGTTTGCAAGGTAAAAGAAGGAGTATGGTAAGGGGTATGGAAAATGACATAGGGACAGGAAGACAGCCATTTAAGGGTATGATTTCAAGCAGTTATCACTCGAAGCAGCTGGAGCTTAATCCTCCTGGAGAAACTCTGGAAACCAGTGTAGAATGCATACATCAAGAGTTATCTCACTTGAAGAACTAGGAGTCTGGGATGTCTATGCCCCAAATTTTGAGTCATTGGTAAGGAATGTTGAATGTGATCAAGAGACAGCGGTGTCAATTTTCTGGAACTTCTGGCTTGCCTCAGAGGCAGCCAAGATAGTTTTAATAGCCACAGGAAACTCAGGAAAAGATGCAATTGCTGGCAATTGGAAGTCAGGCTGGCATTTTTATAGAAGTGATGGAGATGAGAGTATATGGATAGGGCACCAACAGCATCTACAATTAAAATTAAATAATAATTAAAATAACCCCTCAGATGTCTCCCTGGAGATATAAAAGTCTATGATTTTATGACATACTAAGTCTTTTGCAGTCTGAACTAAACATCTCCCTTTGTATCCACCCTTTATTGTGTCCCATGTGAGTTGCCTATAGTCACACCCTCTTATACGTTTAAGTTCTATACAAACTGCTTCTCCTTCTTAGAGATCCTTCTTTTTCTTTCTCTCTCTCTTCTGATCAACTCCTATCCATCCTTCAGAACCAGTTCAAATGGGCTTCCTCTCTGAAGCCCTCTTTTTTTTTCTCTAAGCAGAATTGGTACTTGGCATATCGTTGGAGCTTGGTAAATGGGTGTTGAATGGATTATAATAAATATGCCTCTACTACTACTGTTGAACACATTGATTTGTAGTTAATCTGTATGTCTGTCTCCACCATCACCATGAAGTTTCGAAAGGCAAGGGCCATGTCCTATCTATCTCATCTGATTCACCTAGAACACACTGGGTACCTAGTAATGTTTGCTGAAATATTGAAATATCCCCTTAGAAGAAAATATTAAATATTTCAATATTGAGTGTTTGGGATATTTTAATACTGAAACAATTGAAAAATGTCCTCTTAAAGCTAGAAAAAAACACAGGAATTAGTAGGTCTATTTCCTATCATTCCTCTATCCACACAATTTCATGCTTGGGCAATTTCATTGTCCATTTTCAAAAAAAAGTGTGGGGAGCATAAAATGAATCCCCAATTCCCTTCAAACTCTAAAATACTCCACAGCTTTACCTATGTTATCTCTGAGGTAGAGCATAGAGAATACCACAGCCAATGCCTGTTTTGAGTCATTGGTGGTAAAATAGAAATATAGTATGGTGGCATTTTCTTGACCTCTGAACTGTTTAGGTTTTTTTTCCCCCTTGTGCAGCATCTATGGAAGGGGAGGCATTTTTACCTACATCTGTGTATTTTATTAAATGTAGAACATTATTTATCAATGCAGAATTATATTTTTTCTCAATTTTGCTATTACATGCATTTTTCTCTGTGATTCCAAAGAGTAAAATAATTCAGAGACATAAAAGCGTTTAAGGGTAATTTTCACCGGGCTCCAACACAATTGAGGTCTAAGAAAGGTGTTCGGGAGAGTATGCCAGTGGAGCCTAATGGAGTTGTATTTCCACTTTTCCACTAGAGAGAAATTATGTCATTATATTTTACCTTGGAGGCCAAATATTTGCTAAATAAAACACATTGAAATGAATATTAAAAGCAGCGTAGATAAACAGCTCACTCCAGGGACTAGCTGAATCACAAAAGGGACAGTGTAATCCTTTAGTATATAATTCAGATTAGTTATTACTTCTCTGCTTAAATTCCTCTAGCAGCTGCCTATCACAATTAGAATAAAATCCATACCCCAGCCACGGTTCACAGACTGTTCATCAACCGTAAACGGCTCCTGCTGTCTCTTCCATGGTATCTCATGCCACTCCCTCACTGCTCTGTGTACTGCAACCATAGCATTCTAACTGACTTTCCAATGCACTAGGTGTGCTCTTGTGTCTAGAGTTTTGCAGTGACTGTGCCCTCCTGGGATTGATCTGCACCCCTAATTCATTCAGCTTTGTGCTCATATATCTCCTCCCCAGAGCAGCCTTCTACCACTATTAATCTAAAAGAGTAGCCCTCATGCCTCTGTCCCATCCTGCTTTCTTGGATTTTCTTATATCTTAGCAGTGGACTGCTACACATGAGAGTATCATCTTTTTCTGTTTTAATGCCAATAATGCCTTAAACTGTATCACTTTAGAAACATTTAGATATACATTGAATGGATGATACCTTTATTGATGAGGGAATTGCTATACCTAACTCACATTCATATTTCAATGATATCCTGGCAGGATCAGTTAGGATTTGATTAGTAACCAAAGTATAGAAGCCTAAGGAGAAATGCCCTTTTTTAAATGTACTTGATAACTTTGGAGTTTTTCTTTTCTGTAGTTCATGGTTAATAGTAATTGCCCTCTTCATAGTTTTAAGAAAATTAAAACATGAAAGCTCTCTTTCCCTCAGACAGGCACAGAACCAACTGAATTATTTGTTAAATTAATACACATTTTAGCACTTACTAGATGGAAATAGATGAAGTGTGGGACATATAATATGTTGTCATCTGAGTCCTCACAATGACCTAAAATGTTTTCTGAGACTTTTAAACTATAAACAAGGTGTGATTTATGTTTTGGATGTTGAGAGATTCTTCCTTTATATGTGAACTTATTTATCTATCAACTCTCAGTAGTAACATGGAAATACAGTAGGCAGGGTGCTGGCCCAGAGCAGTGTTGAGCTACATGGTAAAGATGTTTGGAATTCTTATATCTAGCTCCACATAGGTCTTTTGACCCCTAGTCAGACCTTGTAGAAACTAATGATTTTGAGGAGTTATGCCCTCATGATTTTGTTGTAGTTCATCAGTTTTCTGAGAGAGAAAGACAACTGTTATGTAGACTTTCTAGGAATGTTAATCATATTGGTAATAATGATCTTTACAAGTGCTGAGAAGAGATGAGAGTAGATTTTTAAAGCATAAAATTCCAGTGTAATTAAACACTCTGTCCATCCTAGTGCTCTTTTAAAATATATATATAATAAACTATATCAGAATTATGTATATTTTTTTCTTATGTCAAAGTTTTGTTTTGTCTTGTTCTTTAACTGTTCACATTTTTGTTCTCGCACTTCAGGGATTGACAGTATTTTTCAGATGAATTAAACAGTAATCATTTTAAACAAAAAATTACTTCATATATATTAGGCGTTAACAAACTTTTTTGTAAAGGTCCAGAAAATAAATACTTTTGCCTTTGTGGGCCATATGGTTTCTGAGGCAGCTATTCAGCTCTGCCATTGTAGTGTGGACAATATTTGAATGAGCATCGCTGTGTTTGCCAAAACCAAGCAGCAGTCCAGATTTGGTAGTTTGACAACCCACATTATATATAACTGTACCTCATATTTTTTAGTAATAAGATTGTGTATTTCTTGAGGGTGGAAGCTGTCATGTGGTATAGAATGAAGCAGATTCATCCCATAAATTCTAGTTAAATTGATTTAAATAAAATAAAAACTATATAATAATTGCTATAATAGGAAGTTTTCAATGTTAAGTAGAAGACATTATTTCTTGTGAAATCCAGTATCTCATATAAAAATATCCACAGGATGAATACCACTTTAGTTTTAGATAGTAAAAAACAAAACCAAAACAACAGCAACAAAATAAATTTCTCCTTCCCAATTAATTAGTTTGGTTTATTTTATTAGGTATGACTAATCACATTTCCCCTTTAACCCTGACTGAGAATTAACATCTAAGTAGGAAACAAGGGCTAGGTTTTGTGCCCTGCTGTAGCAGCCACCATTAGCCTAGGTTTTCTAGTACCATTATCTCCTACACCTTCATAGACTTTATTTTATTGTGAAAGTAAGTAGGAAATAGATATGTAAATGTCATCTGTTAGATATAATAGAAAGGGTTGTAACTTCTTGACAAAGATGACTTTTGAGCCCTATTTAAAATGAGAGGCATGGACTGGATGAGAGGAAAAGAATGAAAGTAATTTTAGATTAGAGTGATATAAGCAAAAACATTAAGGTAGGACTTTCTGAAATATTGGGCTGAGTTAGATGGCATTGTGAAACAACAACAAACAACAAAAGTACATTTTAATCACAGATTGACCAGTTTCATCTGTAGAAAGAAGTTTGAATTCCCCAATTCCTCAAGAGCATAAATAAAAATTTTATTTGGCATTGGGGTCACTATTCTTGGGGAGTTATTTAGAGGTTTTAGTAGTGAAACAGTTTAGCTTTAATTGGTGCTACTTGCCATAATGGTAATAATTATATATGTGTTTGTAAGGTAAGAATAACTATTTTGTATGCTTATATAAATTATTATATTGTACTAATTGTCACACCAAATACTAATAATGATTTGCTAGTTATTATAGGGCAATTCTTACTATATTGTGAAAAAAATGTTTAAACAAAAAAAGTTAATATTTTAAAGTATACCACCTAGAATATATAGTACTTTAAAATTTTTGGCTTTTATGTTTGTTTGATTAAAACTTAACTCATACATATGTCTTTATATGTTTATATCATTTTATTTCCTGTAAATAACATTTTCTAATTTTGATTTGCTTCTCTTTCAGTTGTTTTACAGGTTTGCAGCCTGGTCCTTTACCCAATCAAGTTCATTGAAACTGTGAGCTTGAAAATTTACCATGAGTTCAATTGGGGTTATGGCCTGGCCTGGGGTGCAACTATATTTTCATTTGGGGGTGCCATCCTTTATTGCCTGAACCCTAAGAACTATGAAGACTACTACTAGAACCAATAGTCTCAAAAAACAACAGCAACCATCCAACAAAAGGATTATGTCTGCATCTTTTGTAACTCACTATTTTCTAAAACACTTGTGGAGCATCAAGCAGTTTGCTCAGTTGATTTAATATCCTTTGCCTTTTGGCTGTCAACATCATAACCAGCTTTTACATCCATTTTAGGGACCTGCACAAATAAGAGAGCTGATTAGACGTAGGCAAATGCTGCAAACTTCCAATATGTTCATGTCATTTTTCTTGACAAGTGAAGGGTCTATATGACAGCAACCATTGTGAGAAAGTAGTTCGAATGAGAATTGCCTGAATCTCCTATTGCCTGCAGGGGAGCAGCTGGCATAAGCAACATTTAGAAGTTCCTTTGCAATGACAAGGATTCCACTGTTAGAGCCCTTATCACCTGCTATCCCACCCAATGACTACATTGGCTGTTGGTTATTTGCTTGAATGAGCCCTTGAAAAGTGAACTGCCCTTCAGCATCTAATGGGAGTTGTGAATGTAACTAGTTAATGGTACACATTCCACCTTCAAGAATACTCTTTTTAATGGGAGGTTGTGCTTTGGCAATCAGCATCTCCCTGGGAAGGGAGTCAAGACTTGGAGACATGTGCTTTTCATTATGTGGTTAGAAGTTGTGCCTCAGCTCTATCTAGAATGGGGAAAAATTGAGGGTCTCTATTTTCCCTGGGGCAACCAGAAAGAAATATGCATGAGTTGCTTTTGTGCCCTTTAAATCATTTACCAAACATTGCAGCAAACAATTGTGCATATGTAACAAGCTTAATGTTTTTATAGAAGGTGAACCATTAGTATAAATGGTAATAAGTTTTCCCTAACCCTCCACATACATTTGCCTATTATACATAAAATTAATATTTGCTCTAGTGAAGTGGTTTGAACACTAACCTTGTACACGTTGTTAAGAGGCTTAGATTGGTATTCACACTTATTAACCATACAAAAGTATGGTACCTTAAAGCTTTTTGCTCTATGTTCTCTACTGTGTCACTGGAAAGTGTTAATAGAATTGCCTAAGAAGAAAAATTGAAACGGTGTTATTCTGAAAATTAATGATTCTTCTGTAAGCACTGTAGTTCAAAATAGAGTAGCAATTAGGATGATCATTTTGTGTAAAATTCATTAAAATAGAAGGCTGCTATTTTTTGCAAGTATTTTAAATGTCTTCATTTTTTTAAAAAAAGAATAGTGATAGATTTATATAAATGTCTCAGTAGAGAAGTAGAATTCATCTGGTTATCACCTGGTCCTCTGAAATTAACTGATGGGCTAACTGATTTGTACACACAATTATTATAGATTTATGTTAAGGAAATCACTTACTGACCATTCAAATGGAAGGAAATATCAATGATAGGGAATAAGTTTGCAACTAATCTCATACTGCAAACTTGTGTTAATTTTGTTTAATATACAAACTTGGATAGTTTAATTATAAACATATTTTTATATCAAATATACAGTTCTAATATAAAAGTTATAAATATTTTTGTTAACAAAGATACTAAAACAGTATGTTCTGGTTTTGGCCCTCTAGCAGAAAGAAACATTGGAAAAATCATTTAAAACGTACCTGTGTGTTACTGTATTGCAAAATCTGTTAAGAGCAGGACCATATCAATAGTATTTAATAATTTGCTTTACCTCCCAAAGCAGAGTTCTACTTTCAGCTTGTCTTAAGAATGGTTGCCAAAAACAACAGCCAAAACAAAACAAAACTATTTTATTATTCAAATGCTAAAACAGCCCGCTTGTCTTATGAATTTTCTATAGAATCACAAATATGAAGTACCAGGCTTAATTCTTACTTTACCAATGATAGACAAAAGTGATGAAATACATCATAGAGAGAAACCTTTATAAAAGTATATGATTCTATAATGAATCCTAAGAAACTGCTAGTGGAAATTTCTCAGAAAGATATTAGTATTATAGAATCTTTTAAAGCAATTTTCTTGATAAATAGCAAAATCTGGGGCAGCCTGTATTGCAGTTAATTGTGTATTATCAGAGCAGCATGAGAAATATGATATTTGGATAGGGATTTGGGCAACTAAACACCCTCTATTATGAGATCTCTTTATTCCTGAATAATGAGAGAATAGTACTCAGTGCTGACATCAGTGAGGCACTTTTCTTGGTCCTAGTAGAGGATGCAGTGCTGTTAAACCAATATCATATCTCGAGTCTTACCAAGTTTTTATTCTCTGTCAATATGACAAGCTGGAAAGTGACAGAATATGTTATAGGTTGAGGCACACATATTTGCAGTTTACTGAAAAGTAGATTTCTTATATAACTTTCTTTTTCCCTTCCCAGTGAAGAGCCCTATGCTATATTTCTACCATCACTAACATTTGGAAGTGTTTCATTACTAACAAGCTCAGTATGACATGAAAATTGTTGTTGCTCATTCAAAATACGATTTTGTCTATCAGAATAAACACAAGTGAAATTTTCACCTACATTAATATTGTCTTTGCAGCTTTAGGTTTGTTTGATGTTTTCTTAAGCAAAATTGTTAACCACAAACCCATTGTTTATCGTAGAGAGAAATATATATACTCACACACATATAGCATCAAGTACTCAGCAGGGCTAGTTATTCGGATTTCTTGCACAACTATTTAGCTTTTTGTAAGTCAACATGTAAATTTTGAAGACATAAATATAGAGAGACCTATGTGTTTGAAATATAAATGATATATATGGATTAGCATGTACCTATATATTATTAAACATGCAATGAATTGACTGGTAAGTGACGTCTAATTGTATGGCTAGCAATGTAATTTATTCAGACTGTATTTTTGTACAGAGCAGCAGCGCACACTAACCTATGCCTCTGTGTCCTCTTTAATGCCTAAAACTGTGCCTAGAAATCTCATCTGTCTTAAAAAAAATATACTTCATGCTGTTTATGCTATTAGTTTCTCTACTGCTATTCAATATTTATTTTAAAGTATATGACATGTTTACTACTTAAATATGAATTCATGATATCCTGGTTATTTTTTTTAACAGTCATCTGGGGGGAAACCTGTTTATTACTCTGGTGATTTTGAGTTTGCAGTTTCATGATTGATTCTTTATTTCATGATTTTTGTAGTTGACATGAAGTTATCTATGTGGAAAAAATAAAAATAAAAGTGGTTTCACGGATATGGCTTGACTTTGTGTCTTCTCTACTGCATAAACCCTTTAGACAAAGCTTCTAACTTACATGTCTTCATTTCATTCTCTTCTTTAAAATATAAGAAAACACTGCCTAATAAAACATGCTCATTTTTGACAAAGCAGACAAAAATTTCCACTGGGGAAAGGACATCATATTCATTTTTTTCAAAATATTTTTAAATTTTTTGTTACAAATTCCTTCCCAAGATCTTTCTATTTGCTGAACCTCAGTTGTGTGAACAGTGATAAAGGAATACTATTAATTTTTTTTAAACTTTCTATTTTAAGATGCACAGATAGGAGATGCAGTGTAGCCTACTGTATCTTCCTACTTTCTAATCACTTGAAACAAGAGTAATGGAAGAGTTGGATATTGTATTTTGGGTTTTGTGTAGTTTTCAGTGTTTACAGAATATGTTAAAAGCAAGCTTGTCTGCATTATCTGTTTTTAAATTAGAAGCTCTAAAAATTCACTGTGCATGTACATGCATGTGTGTGTGAAGAATTTGATAAAGTCAGAATTTACATCACCCTTTGATGTGTATAAATGTTGAGTATACTTGTAAAGCAATTTAAATTGGACATGCAATAAAATTCACTTGTATATATGATAGAAAATTTTCTTGAAGATATAAATAGAACCATAGGCAATTGAGCAAACTTTTTCATGTTGATAAAGTCAGTTTGAATATAAAATACATGTATTTGTCATAAAGACATTTTTCTTGTGTCATGAACCCTCTACTATTGAGAGTTTCACAGTGCATTTTTTTGCTGAGAAGAAAATTTGGTAAATCACCTGTAAGCCTATGATATATTTAATAACACACTTTCAAAAGTATAGATATTTAAGTTATAAATACTAACATTTTCATAGTTTTTCTGTAATTTTAGAAATTTTCCTTTTCAGTGGCCTTATTCTAATTTGATGAAGTAGCAGCATTTATTTGATATATTTTCAGTATAAGATATTTCATTTTTATACAGAATTCTCATGAGCAAATCACCTTTGCAAACATGGCTTGCCTGGTAATTATCCATGACCCAGTTTCTCTGAATTTGGAAGACATAGTTTCACTAGGATTTGACAAGGGAAAATCCTTTGCTTTCAGAGGTTTCATTGTGAACATAAAACAGAAAAGCAATTTCAATTTACTTTTCCATAATGGCCATATAGCCTGTTAGCAGTTTGATTTATGAAGTCAGGCCCATGCTATGTCAACACAATGTTCCATTTTGATGGTTATTAAAGTAATTTTGGTCAGAAAATAAATTGATAGTGAAATTATTTTGTATTCTGTAGATTAATCCACTGAATACCTAAATTATTTATCAAATTTTCATGTTCTGACTTTCTGTTAATAGCTTTTCAGAAGTGCGATGTTAAATGAGATAAGATTGAAAGAGCAAATAAAAATTAGAATTAAGTACTTAGGAATATTTTCACAGGAAGCACTAATTTATTTGAATAATTTAACCTCTATGTCTAATATTGGGACATGGTGTCTTAGCAACTTAATAAATTAAAATCATACTAAATAACAAAGCTATGTAATAAAATGCCAACAGTTTTTCCTATATAAGGCAGGTTTGGGAACTGGGAAGTTTTCACATTTCTAACAACTACTGAATGTTGTCCTGGGCAGAGGGTTCATATATCTATACTTGGAAAATCTGTTTCCAAAGAGTCACCAGCTAGGTGACTCACACATTTATATTCTAGAAGTCTAATGGTTCCAAAGTATAACTAAGAGAACAGGAGCTGAAGTATTCAATTGGGAAGGATAATATGTGGTGTTTCTAAGCCAAGATTAACAGCACACAAAGAATGGTGTTCTTTGTAAAACTAAAGCTGTGTTGAGTGGTTCACCAGAGAAACTCATTTTTGGCAAGCAATTATTTCCAAGTTGAATGACTTCATAGAAATAATGATTATAAAAGAAGCTTGGAACAAGTACTGGAAAATAATGTCATCAAACCACCAGAAACCTTGAATATTTCAATCCTTGCATGTGACAAGGATTAATGAAAAAAATCATATCTAAAAAATAATGATATATGTGCTAATTTTTGCATGGATGAGGATATGTCTGGGTGACTTGAAGGCAGTCTTATAGATAAGAGGCAGGCATAGAGTTAAAATGACATAGATGATGGTACTGTAGGCTGCCCTTCAGTTTGCTTTGAACTCATCATTATAAAGGTAAAATAAAAAAATGATTATCAATCATCTCTATAGTCTTTAATTTTTAATAAAAAATGTAGTTCAAAAGGAAGACTTCAAAGAAATTGTTTTAAACCTGAGCAGGAGACAATTTCTCTTAAGATTATTATGAATGGGGAGTTATATTGTTAAGGGTTGAGTGGAGAAGCCCTACTTTGTTGGTCTTTGATATTATACATTAAATAAAAAGGCAGATAATGCTATTGTGCTTGACAACCTCTCCCAGGCAAACTTCTGCTGTATCAAAGCACTTTGGAGAGTAGGTCCTTCTTTGTCCATACCACTGTTTAATGGTAATATGACAACTTCTGACATTAAACACAAGTTTTCCTAATTTTAACTTTTAGGTGATTAGTCTTCTTAAACACTATCTAGCTATTATGGTTGTGTTAATTATTTGAGGCATGCAGTATGTGTCAAAGGAGCAAAATAAGTTATAATAAAACAATACTTATAATCATGAAAAGCATGTTTATCATTTGACTCCAAGCTATGAATGCTGTTTACCATTGGAACATATTGGCATAAATTTGACAATATAGAAATCCTTATGGAGGCATAATGTTTTATAAATAATTTCTAGTTATATTCTCTGAAGAGCTTCACATTTTTAAAATGCTTCCTAATGAAGAGAAATTTTGAAAAATCATTTGCTCAGAATTTTTCTCTGAGTAAACCTCAATATTTAGCATGTATCTTTTCAGCAAATGTTTAAGACATAAACTACTTTGAGTTACTTCCCCCACTGGACATGCTTGGATAAAATTAATTTTTCTCTGTCTGTCTCAGAGAGTCAATAAACCTTAGTACATATTTAGGCAGGCATTTGAGTTTTGGGAAGTTCAAGTATGATCCAAAACACAACAACCTACTGCTGCCAAAGATTGCATGACATCTTTGAATCAGAAATGCTCTGAAAAAATGACACAACAATTAAGCCTTTTTATGCCCATTGAAACCAAAAGCACTGTTTGTTTTCAGTTAGGCTTGTTTGACTATTGTGCTATTTGGAGGGAGAAAGAAAGCACATATAATATTTTCCTAAAGTTGGGCTTGTTTTTATTTATAAGTACAGATGTGTGTAAATTCCATACATTTATATACTTTGGTTTATGTAGTATCTATTTTGGAATGGGAGCATTTTTAGAATTGTTTATGACTTAAGGAAATACAAATTGAAGTCAGAGTAAGGGTTAGAGAAAATTAGCTATTAGGAAAAGGAGATCAAACAGTTGGATCTTCCAAATGTTGCCATTTAGTCATAATTGCATGCTATAAGACTGTGCAGATATGGGAGAGAGTAGAAACCTGACAGGTTGGTGTAATTGATTAGCTTTGGAGTTTATGCTCTACCCATAATGGTTTCTCTGAGAACAATAGAGGATTTGGCAGGTGGCCGTATTTGCACCACATGACTATGCATCCTTGGTCAGAGATGATTAGAGCAGAGAGGGTTCCTGCCTTAAGCTAGCCCCCTCTGTTTTTCTTGCCCATTAATTTGGAATTGGTCTCGGTATGTAGCTAGTAATAAAATGAAGAAACTATGGGTTTTTGGGGTGTGTGCAGAGATGCAAAGAAAACAAACTGCAGAGAATAAAGGAATGAAATATAGACACACACACACACGCACACACACACACACACACACAGAAGTAGTCAAGAGGAACCATGTAGGACCTAGAGAGAATAAAAGAGTGGGTGGTCTCCATTCCTAGTAAGGCCAAGCTGCCTTATGTTCCATGAAATAAAACTGTCCTTCAAGTAATTTCCTGTTTTGATTAAACCAGTTTTAGTTAGATGCAAGAGAACCTTGGCAAAGACTCTTCTGTTAAAAGTTTCAATATTCAAGTTATACTAACTCTCCAAAAAAGAATTGAAAAGTACATGAAGATTTCCTGACAAACTTCCCATCCCACCCCAGAGTGCCCAACACTGTATTCCACTGTCAAAAATTGCTTCCAGTAGTCTCAGACACAGTAAAATATAACTCAGTTAAAACATTTTAGGTCTTAACTCTCCATTTTTTTTTATTTTTTCCAATGTCAAAGTTATGTGCTAAGGGGGGGAAAATCAATCATTATCAGATGGCAAGAAAACTGTCCTGGAATGCCTGAAATCATTCATGGTACTTTCTGCCCCATCTTACCTCTAGGGTACATTGGCATTCTGCATCATCCCATAAGAGCACATGTATTCTCCAGGAATGCTAGTTCTGTTGGCTTTGCCTGTTTGTGCTTAAGGCTTCTCTTGAGGATTTCAGAGTAGTACCTCACTGGGGTTTATATTGCCTTCGCTCTAGTGCTGCTTTGGGCTCAGGTGAATCAAGCATGTGGGAGCAGACATATTAACTTACTATGGACAAAGATTCTACTCATCCAACTCCTCTGGAGACTTGACCTACATGACTGCTTAAGCAAGTCAACCTAATAGTTACAATTATTCTTGGATCATCCTTTGGCTAACATAGAGTTCCACATATGACAAAATAATTATACACAAGTACGAACAACTGGACCCCATGCCAGGATCTAATCTGTACATTTGTGTTCTCAATTTAGCCTAGGCTTAAACAAGAGAAGGGAACTAAAAATCCCCCTTTCTTGCTATTGTATTCTTGTAAAGGCAAATCTATTTGTTTTTTAATAAAAGATCATGACTTGTTCATGAAAATCCACCGTTATGTATTTCAGTCTAAGGAAGGACAGTTGTTTCTTGCAATGAAACCAAAAACATTTAGGTGTTTAAATAAAGTGATAAGATG